GGGGGGGGGGGGGGGGGGGGGGGAGCAAGCAAAAGAAGCATAGGAAAGTTTAAAGGAGCTGCTTGTTAGGAATAAAAAATACGGAGCTAGATCTAACTTCTGAATGAAGCGCAGGTGCAATTAGAGCCCCGGGGCTGCTCTGGTGCGGATTCATTGCGCACTTCAGGGTGCAGTTTGTTTCGGGAGGCCCATGCTGGGCAGTTTTGCATATTGGCTTTGTCGCAAGACAGCTTCCAAAGAGCAGTGAAATGAAGAACTTCGAAAAGAGCAGTGATTTTGTCCCATCAAAGCTGTTACATGTGTCGGAGCTGTGCTTCTTTTAGCTTTAGAGACACGGCTTTCTGAATTTTGCCTAAGTTGGTTGAGCGGGGTGGCGTAAGCGAAAGGTTATGAACTGAATCAGCCAGTGGCACCGACCGGACTCAGCAGTGCACTTTAAGACTAGAAAAATTCATGTCTTCGCAGTACTGTTTGTAAAAGCAGATCATGCGCATAATTTGGCAAACGGTAACACAAAAGATGCTGCTACTGCGCCGCCAGTCAGGCTCCCGAAGTAGCCGAAACATTCGCGATATTTAACTGTCCGAAAACCCATGCTTTGTGCTGCTGTTTGAGAGCGGGAGTCGCACCACATATGCATTTTGCAACGAAGCCAAGGCATGGAGTTCGGTTCAGTTTTGTCTCTTGTACACTTTCGGATCATTTATTGCAGGAGAAGTTTTTCTGTCCAGTTTGTTCAGCAATACAGCCTATCGAAGATACCAATTATTTCACTTATCTGGGAGTGCGGCCAGGATTTGACGTTGATTTGTCATTGCTTAAGAAGAATTTCCTCAAATTGCAATCTGCAGTTCATCCTGATAAATTTTCGACGTGCTCACAGGTAGTGCCAGGATTATCAAGACCGCTTGGACATTTAGTATTTGGATCCGACGCTAGCGATGCTACTAAAGTGCATCAACACTATGCGGGGCCTTTCGACCCGAAGCTGCATACCTCCCGTCACCTGCAGCAGCTGTCTTTTCGTTACATATGCGCTATTTCTTCGGACTCGCCAGGGTGATCGTTCCTTTCCTCGCTAGTATCACTTATTGGAATGTGACATCTGTGGTTGTCAGTAGGCGGACAACATGCCCCGCCCGATGAATTTTTCTTTCTCGCGTGGTCGCAGCGACATCGTGGACCTCGGAGAATCTTACCAAGAAGGTCAGGCCTGGTTGCCACACCGCGAATAAATCCATTCAGTAAATTGAGGGTTTCGGAAATATATCTGGAGCGATCCTTTTTAATTTTATTGTCATTAATTTACAGAAAGAACAGGAAATATCAGAGCACTGTTCTCAGTACCTCAATGAGGCATACAAGACCTTAACAGAACCGTTACGAAGGGCGAGGTACTTGCTTTCGTTGAAAGGAGAACGAATCGAAAGTAAAGGTATTTGTAATTCATACTTTGTTTATCTTGCGCGCGTCTGCTGCCAAAAATTTTCATGGGCTTGTACATGAGAACCACTCACACCTGGGCTGAATTTGAAGTCACTTGATCGTAGGCAGAGAACATCCCGTAAAAATTTCTGCATTCTAGCTTTGCTGATTTCCGCCGAAAATTTCCACGGGTCCGTACGTGGAACCACGCACACCTGAGAGCTAGTTTTAAACTTATTAAGTCCTACACGAACAGAGAACATCGCCTTAAAATTCCGGTTTTCTAGCTTTTCAGGTTCCCGAGTTAGCAGCTTACCCGCCAAAGACTTTGACTGGTCTGTATGTGAGACCCTTGTGGGCAAGGGCGCCCATTTTGAGGAGTGGAGACCATATATGCATGTAGATTAAGTTCCCAGATTCTCAGTCTTGCAGATTCTGTAGGTCTCGAGATGAAAAATTGGTACAGACGAACACACAGACAATCCCTCGACAATATGCGTTATTGCATTTCGTAGATGCAAAAACGCATAAAAATTAAACATACTTTGGCGTTGGAGTATTAAGCCGTCTGCAGTTGTTCATTGGTCTGATAAGCGCAACTTTTTTTGTAGAAGCTTCGGGCAGTACAGATTTTCTCGTGGAAATGATGGAGCTGAATGAACGGGTGGCAGCAATTGATGATCCTGAGGAATTGAAGAATTTATTGTATAACGTTGAAAGGAGAATCGATGTTCTAGGCGAGGAATTCAAAAGTAGCTTCGAAGCGAACCAGCTTGAAAAGTCTAAAGAGATTGTGCTTAAGCTGACATTTTATTACCGTTTGAAGGCTGTTTTATCGAATAAGATTGTAGATAATGTATAAATTCCAGTATATAAAATTCGTTTCGCAAGACACTGTACAGCAAGGAAGGAGCGCGGGAGGAAAGCAAAAGAGAAGATGGGAGGAAGAAGAGAAGGGAGATATTAGATCATGAGAAATGGATAAAAATTTGAGTAGTAAGAGAGAGAGAGAGAGAGAGAGGCTAAATACACCTGGGAGAACAGCGAGGAAAGAGGCTAATGCAAATTGGATTCAGTGACGATAATGTAAGGGAAAGGGCATCAGATTTTCGGTAAAATGTGAGCGTAACTCGGGTCGGCTGCATTGTATGCACTCATTTTTATGCGTTTTGTGCTGTGTAACAGCAGTACAAAACGCATATTGTTACGGGGTTGTC